AAAGGAGAGAAAGGGGGAGGAAAAGGGGGAAGGAATAGGTAGGTACCTCTCTTTCATAAGAGTCCAGATATCAAACTCAACTTTGATAAGTTTTACTATAGGCCACAGCAACGCGTGGCAGGGCACAGCTAGTATATATATATAAATGCTCTGTGCGTAATGAGTACCTTAAAAACAAAAGAACCAATGAACGAAATCACACCAAATTTGGCAACAAAACGTCTCACAACACAAGGAGTGACCATCACTCAAAAAATTATGATTTTGTCATTTGGGAGTTGTAGTTGCTGGGATTTATAATTCACCTATAATCAAAGAGCATTCTGAACTCCCCCAATGATGGAATTCAACCAAACTTGACACACAGGACTCCCCTGACCAACAGAAAACACTGGAAGGGTTTGGTGGGCATTGACCTTGAGTTTTGGAGTTGTAGTTCACCTACATCTAGAGAGCACTGTGGACTCAAACAATGATGGATCCGGACCAAACTTGGCACGAATCCTCAATATGCCCAAATATGCACACAGATGGAGTTTGGGGGAAATAGACCTTGACTTTTGAGAGTTGTAGTTACTGGGATTTATAGTTCACCTACAATCAAGGAGCATTCTGAACCCCACCAACGACAGAATTGGGGCAAACTTCCCACACAGAACCCTCATGACCAACAGAAAATACTGTGTTTTCTTGTGATCTTTGGAGACCCTTCTGACACCCCCCTGGTGACCCCCCCCCAGGTCTTGACTTCCATGTTGAGAAATGCTGCCTTAAGGCCATCCAGTCCAACTCCCTTCACCAGGGCAAGAAAACATAATCAAAGCCCTCCTGACAAAGGGTCATCCAGCCATTCACACACACACATATATGTATATGACAGATGCAGTATCAAAGGGACTCCTAAAGAAGGACAATTATATATTGCGTGTCCCAGAGTAGGCAAACCAGACAATTTCAACATCAACACTGACAAAGAAACAGCAAGAAATACTGTTTACCCACAAACATCAAGACATTACATATATTAGAAACCAACACTTTCTCATTACTTTATTTTCCAGATCATCAGACTGGGCCACAGCAACGTGTGGCAGGAGACCGCTAGTCATGTACTAGAAAGAGAGAAACCAATACCTTGGGCCACACATTATAGAAAAGACACACTGGGATCCGTATATTAAAGTTTACTTACTTACTGTATATACTCGAGTATAAGCCTAGTTTTTCAGTCCTTTTTTTTAGGCTGAAAAAGTCTCCCTCAGCTTATACTAGAGTCAGTATTATTTATTATTTTACTTTGTTGTTGTTATTATTATTATTATTACATTTATTATTTTATTGTTGTTGATATTCGTACATTTATTATTTTGCTCTATTATTGTTACTGTTACATTTATTATTTTACTGTATTGTTTTTATTATGTTTATTATTTTATTCTATTATTATTGGGTTGTTGTAAGTTTTTTCGGTCTATATGGCCATGTTCTAGAGGCATTCTCTCCTGACGTTTCGCCTGCATCTATGGCAAGCATCCTCAGAGGTAGTGAGGTCTGTTGGAAGTAGGAAAATGGGTTTATATATCTGTGGAAAGACCAGGGTGGGACAAAGGACTCTTGTCTGCTGGAGCTAGATGTGAATGTACATTCACACCTAGCTCCAGCAGACAAGAGTCCTTTGTCCCACCCTGGTCTTTCCAGGTTGGCTTTGAGCCCATCTTTACATCTCTTTTCCTGCCCACCAACATTCCTTTTTCTGTTCTTGAGTTGGGAGGAGAGTAACTGTTTTGAGAGACGGTGATCTTTGGGCATTCAGACAACATGGCCTTCAGCACAGTGAAGTTGATGGCATAGGAGCAATGCTAGCGGTCACTGCTTCTTTTTCCAGCACGCTGACATTTGTCCGCCTATCTTCCCAAGAGATTTGTGGGATTTTTCAGAGGTAACGCTGATGGAATCGTTCCAGGAGTTGATTGTGACATATATAGACAATCCACATTTTGCAGGCATAGAACAGGGTTGGGAGGGGAATGGCTTTAGAAACAAGTACCTTGGTATCCCTATGGATATCCCGGTCCTCAAACTCTCTCTGCTTTATTCAGAAAAATGCTGCACTCGCAGAGCTCAGGCGGTGTTGTATTTCAGTGTCAATGTTGACTTTTGTGAAGGTGGCTGCCAAGGGAGCGGAAATGGTCCACATTTTCTAATGTTACACCATTAAGCTGTATTTCTGGCATTGCAGAGGGATTGGGTGGTGCCTGCACTTTGGTTTTCTTGATGCTCAGTGACAGGCCGAGCTTTTTGTATGCTTCTGCAAAAGTGTTTAGAGTGGCTTGTAGGCCTTCTTCTGAATGCAGACAGACCACATTATCAACAGCATATGTTGTTGTGACCCCTATCTGTCCAATATATGATTTCCACTCCAGTGGGAAGCTTCCCATCAATAAAATGAAGTATCATAAAAATACAATACAATTAAATTAAATAATTACCGCAGAAGGAAATAATATGGCTGCTGTCTTCATGGACGAACTTCCTGGTAACGGCTTCTTCCATTATTTGTTTCACCTTTAATAAAATGAAATAAAATTAAAAATTATACACACACACACATATATACACACACCTAAGGCTTTCCAATTAAAAGGACCATTTAATTACAGCAAAGGTCCTTTTATATTACTTTACTTATTAATTTTATTATTATTGTTATTATTTAAAATAAATTCTGGATTTATTTCAATATTTTAATGGAATGATATTTGATTTTTATTTATTGTATTATAATTATAATACATACACACATTTTCACTTTTATTATGTGTATAGATAGATGTAGGTACTGGGATGTATAGTTCACCTGCAATTGAAGAGCACTCTGAACGTCACCAAAGTTGGAATTGGACCAAACTTGGAACACAGAACACTGATGAACCACACCCACTTTATGTCCTGTTGCAGTTTGAGGGAGGATGGACCATGGAAGATGGGATGTGCAGTATGTTCACTCACTTTCAAAGACCACTACAGCCCTAATGCATGACAGACCTGGGCCACACTTGGCACACAGACCCCCCCATGACGAACGGAACATCATGGAAAGACTTTTTTTTTTTGTCGTGTCAGGAGCAACCGCTCCTGTTGTGAGAGAATTGGCCATCTGCAAGGATGTTGCCCAGGG